TTCTTTCTTAGATGGGCTGCATCCCCTCTTATGGCTCGTTACCTACACATACTTTTACAAATGTTACTATATTGGGTTTATGTGGCAAGGTTTTAGTAGTGGAGGGTTACAGGGGTGGTTTCTGTGAGAAGATTCTGGATGCTTCTCCTATGTCTCCATGATGGGCCCGCCGCTGGCCAAGGCCAAGCCCATCAGCAGTAGTCATAGTGCCTCTGAGAAAACGGATTTAAGAAGGGATAAAAATAGTCCTCAGTGATCCCAAGATCACTGAGGAAGGAGGGGGAGGAGGTGCTCCAGGCACTGGAGGAGAGATTCCTCTGCATCCTGAGGGAGACTATGGTGAGGCAGGTTGTCGCCCCTGCAGCCCATGGACGTCCACGGGAGAGCAAATATCCACCTGCTGCCCCTGGAGGACTCCATGCTGGAGGAGGTGGCTGCATGAAGGAGGCTGTGACTCTCTGGGAAGACTGTAATGGTGAAGGCTCCTGGCAGGACCTGTGGAGCTCATGGAAAGAGGAGCCCACACTGGAGCAGCTTTACTGACAAGACTTGTGACCCCACAGTGGTCACTGCTGGAGCAGTCTGTACCTTCAGGACAGTACCCTGTGGGAGGGTCCCCATGCTGGAGCAGGGGAAGAGTGTGAGGAGTCCTCCCCTGAGGAGGAAGCAGCAGCAAAGACAATGTGGGTTGAAGTGACTGCATCCTCCATTCCCCATCCTCCTGCACTGCTGTGGGGAGGAGGTAAAGGATTCAGGAATGAAGCTGAGTCTGAGCAGAAGGGGGGGGGAGGTGCATTTTAAGATCCTGTTTTAATTTTGATTATCCTACACAGATTTCATTGGTAATAATTTAAACTAATTTCCCCAAGTTGAGTCAGTTTTCCCCATGATGGCCATGGATGAGTGATCTCTTCCTGTCCTGATCTCTACCCACAGGTCTTTTATTTTTTAGTCCCTATCCAGCTCAGGAGGGCAGTGACAGAGCAGTTTTGATGGGCACCTGGCATTCCCCACCACAGTTATTCAGGTCTTTCCCTTTGCCTCCATTTCTCTGTCCTTGCTGTGTGGCTCACTACCAGCAGTATCTGCTGAGAGGTCCGTCCTTTCTTCATGCTAAGGGGACACATAACAATCCATCTGCTACTGGATTTTTTTTTAAGGCATCTCCAGATGGACTGAGCTTAGCCTGTCTCCTGGATGAGAGGTGAGGTACATCTTGCTAGTGGTCATTAAAGAGGTTACAGCTGAAGTGTCAAGAGTTATTCTCCGTGCAAACAATGCCAAGAGAGTGAGAGCAAGCAGGAGCTGCTTCACAGGATCTCTGCCAAGTTGGCCTTTCCTTGGATGATCTTTGAGTGGCTGGCAGGGTAGGTGTCAGAGCCTCTCTGTAACAACAGCACAAAGCAAAGTGAAGCTAAATGTAGAGGTAAATGTGGGCCACTGCTTCTTTCAAGACTAAAGCCCTAAGCTGTCCAGGCCTTTGGACCTGATGTTCTTGCTGAAGATGAAACAAATGGAACAGTGACAAGGTTAGAGAATCATTCAACGTTTATTCTTCAAAAGGACCTTGGCAGCTGTGGTGCTTTTGTATCTGTGAGACAGTTATATTTTATAAAATGAGTTACAGACCTGTCTCTTTCTTTTTGGGAAATGCATTCCATTTTACTATTATTTGTTTCCTTGCAGAGCCAGCATGTATCATTCACAGTGTCACCAAAGAGATACTGTCTGAGCTCTTAGCATAATCTTTATTTATCTCTAAGTCTTTGCTTGACTAGAAGTTTGAATTCAGACTTCAGGGTAGAACTAAAAGTAGTCCCTGTGCTAAGTTAAATAAGAGAAGCAGCATTTCATGAGCAGCACTTACTATGGCTATTATGTGACAAAACTAAACAGGTTTGGAGAATAAATCTACTGTATCTACAATGTCTTTTTATTATAAATACAATACTTTCCAAAAAATGATTTCCATCTTAATAGGCACTTCATTGTAATTGGTTTCTGTAAAGCCATCAGCATGAAGTGAAATCATCTCACACCAATACTTCTGTTAACATCTTTGATTTTATTAGATGCAGAAGAGATCAAAATTCAGCTGCTAGTATATTAGTAAGTAGCTTGTAAGTCTAACCAACACTTTGGCTTATTGCAAATTATAATTTGCAAACCTGGCTGTGATTTTTGCCATGAAAGAAAATTTAATAATATTGATGTGAACTCAAGAAATAGGAAAGAGACTCTTTCTATGTATAATATATGTTTCTATGTTGTTGCAGCCGGACTTTTTCCTCCCCTGTGCCTAATTTTTGATGTAGGTAAAATTAATGGAGGAACAGCATGTTCTCCTGAAATCACAGAATCATAGAATGGTTTGGAAGACAGACATGTGCCTTGAGAGATCTTGCTTTCTCTCTCACTTTCAGAGATCTCAATTTCTGTCCTTCAAGTTATCGGAGATCAAGTAATAATGTAATTGAGATGTGGTTTTCCAGTTTTTGCAAAATTTGCCAATGAGAATCTTTCACAGGAAGACACCCTAAGATGTAACTTTATGTGTGTTTTTGTTGGCTCTACTTTTCAGAGTTAGAGTGGAGTTCTTGCTAGAGGTATGTTTAAAATATTTAGCAAGAAGATGTGAGCTTATTCTGTTCACCCTTTGCTGCAATTCAGGTAGCTGTGATAAGCACAGTATAGTACACAAAATAACAAATCCTGCCAAGAGGCACAGTGTGAATTTAGCACTAAACTGCTCTACCAATGCAGTTCCTTGGTGGCCCTGAGAATGAACAGAGTGGATTCATGCGTGCCTGTGAAATACCACATGAATATGGAAACACCTTGTCCCATACAAAGGTCTGGGAACTGGAAAAGATTAATGGAACAAAGCAGATTATAGCTAAATGATTATTCATTTCAGTAAAGATATGCCATAATTATCTTAATTCGTTTCACAGACAAAGGTAATTACATTTAATTGAGTTGTGACAAAACACAACAGCTTTTATAATGGCTAAGGTCTATTTATTTCTGCCCTGGCATTCAAAACATTTTTTACAGAATAATGATCTTTTGTTCTGGGAGAAACCCATAAACATGTAAGGAAATAAGAAAGTTTTAAAGATTATCAGTGTCAAATAACTTTCTCTGGGGGATTTAAAAATTGTTATCTTAAAAAAAAAAAGGCTTTTCATGAAACATTCAAGGTATTAATTTTCATTGAACTATGGAATTTGCCCAGGTAGCATTAAAAAGGGAAATTAATTGCAGAGACTGTGAATTTCCAGAGAAATTATGAACATGAAACTTGACACTACAAGTGAAATTTCTGAGATTTTTGGAATAACACTATGAATTTCTCTTTCGGAAATTCAGAAAATGCTGTAAACGTAGCATCCTAGGCATTTTTTAAAATCTTTCCTTTATAAAGACCTTTCTTACAGAGAAAGAGGAAGTGCTCTGTCCTTTAATAATGATGGTGGTAGGAGTGAGTTCAGGTTGTTATTCTTTCTGTATGACATCTGAATTGCTGTTTAGCAGATGATAACACTAGATATTTGTTTTTCTGGGTAAGTTCTTCCAGTTGGCCACCTATCTCAAATTCCCTATTAATTTCATTATCAATTTCGTATTTGGTGAGTGATTGCTGCTTGTAGATGTGCTTATGTGACACCTGCTTGCAGCGTTGGAAATCTGTGAGAGCATCCAAGTAAGGAATGTCTGTTTCTCATACCATGAGAGACCAAATTTTATTTTTAATGGGTGCACTGCTAACATTTAAAACAAAAGAAAAAGTCTAAGAGATGTGATGAAAACCACTGGCTGTAAAATGCAAGTAGTCAGTTTGCTTTACCTCCACTTTTCAGTGTCTCATGTTATTCACCCAGTCTCACTTTAGTTTTGCTTCTTAAACCATCCCTGGCTTTGACATAGCCTTTTCCTCTGCAACAGTCTGTCAGCCTTTCTTTATCTTTGAGCAAAATAACACTACCAAAGAGGACATAATTTTTTCATACCTGGCTTATAGTATATTACTTTCACTCTACAACATTATCTCTCATTACTTTTAATATTAAGCGCAGAAAGTATTTTTAAGTCTAAGATGCCTTGTAAAATAAAATACAATTGTCTTGAACTGTGTTGTTTTATTTGTTACTCTTGCTCATAAAAAATTACCAAACAGGACTTTCTCTTTTAAATCCTTGCTTGTTAATCTTTCTTATGTGATAGACAACCAGATATGAAAGTAAGTCTTGAATGAAATATAATTTCCTCATAAAAATAAGAAAATTTGAATTAATTTGAAGATTTCTTGTCTGATAAACTAAACTGAGCTTTTTGATTTTTAGTCTAAGAGGAACAAACAAGGGGAGTAAAAAGATCTAGATATGAGAGAATCAGCTTTATTAGTAAAGGCAAAAATGATTCTGTAGTTGAGATTCAGGCAATCTGAATAGACTTAATAAAAGCTTATTTAAATGCTGGAATAAATATGTATGATTATATGCCAAAATCTATCAGGAAAGATCTCATAAAGGGAATATGTAGAATGAACTGTATTCACAGTCACTGTGCATCAGAAGTTTTAAAAAGAACTAGCTAAAGGGCAAAAATTATCAACAAGGTCATAATATATTATTGACTTTGCTGCAGACCAGTCTAGAGATAAATTATCTATTAAGACTTATGAATATTTTCATCTTCAGTCCTGATGTATCACCACTAAGAGCACTAGATTTATGTTACTGTCTGTATCACTGATGGAAGCTTTGTTACCTGTATTTACAGTGAAAAAAGGCTTCTGGAATTTTTTTTAAGATGCCATATGAATCTCAAAGCTTCTACTATGTCACAACCAGATTAAGCTATAGTGGTAGCTTTTTAAAAGTCAGGAATATTTTAATTATCAAAGAATATTTGCATATTAAAAAAATGCTATTTATATTTGCAGAGACAACCTTTGTTTGCCTCACTATTTCTGCTTTTTTTCTTTTTTCCTCCAGGGCACAATATAGAAGTATGATAGCAACCGGAGGAGTCATAACAGGACTGGCTGCCTTAAAAAGGCAAGACTCTGCCAGATCTCAGCAACATGTAAATCTTGCCACAGCACCAGCTTCTGAGGAGAAAAAACCAGTTAGACGCCGGCCCAGGACAGATGTGGTGATTGTCAGGGGCAAAATCCGTCTCTATTCTCCGTCGGGGTTTTTTCTTGTTTTGGGAGTGCTTATTGCATTCTTTGGAATTGCAATGGCCATCCTTGGATACTGGCCCCAAAAGGAACAGCTTTTAGGGTCTGAAGATAATCTGTCTGTAAATGAAACCCAGATCCTGAGAAGCCAAGGAAGCATTTTACTTCGCTTCTTTGAACAGCACGTGCATTCAGATAAGATGAAAATGCTGGGGCCTTTTACTATGGGCATTGGAATCTTTATTTTTATTTGTGCAAATGCCATTCTGCATGAAAACCGTGACAAGGAAACAAAAATAATACACATGAGAGACATATACTCCACTGTCATAGACATCCACACCCTGAGGATCAGGGAACAAAAGCAGCTGAGTGGTGCCTTCACTGGCTTGTTGGGGGAAGGAGAACTCAGGCACAGTGGGAGCTCATGTGCATCACATCTGGCTGCGAACACAGTTGCACCTTTCTCTGGCTTCAAGAGTAATCTTAGAATGGATAGTTCTGCTGAAGAAGATGAGATTACCCTAAATGAAGATAGAACCACTAGTAGCCTCCTGCCACCTCTGCTGACTGAACAATCCAGTTCAATCTTTGGACTTTACCCTCACTCTAGCAAGGCTTCAGATGACAAAAACACTAATTCTATAAAGTGTGAAACAAAATCCATTGTATCATCTTCTATTAGTGCTTTCACGCTGCCAGTAATTAAACTGAATAACTGTGTTATCGATGAGCCCAGTATAGACAACATAACTGAGGACTCAGAGATCACTAGGAATCAGTCTAGAAATTTGTCAATGGATTCTCTGGCAATTCCACTGACTGATACCAATGAATCCTACAGACCAGCCGTTGCCATGCTGCCACGACACAATTCATTTGTGGACACTCCATCTGATCAGTTCAAATCTTCTATGACTCTTGGACCAAGCACAGGAAAGCTTTTATCTCCAGGTGCTGCCAGGAAACAGTTCGGTTCCAACACATCTTTGCATCTTCTATCTTCACATTCTAAGTCCTTGGACTTGGACAGGGGTCCGTCTATGCTCACTGTCCAAGCTGAACAAAGGAAACACCCCAGCTGGCCCAGACTGGATCGGAGCAACAGTAAAGGATATATGAAACTAGAAAACAAAGAGGATCCAATGGATAGGTTACTTGTGCCACAAGCAGCAGTCAAGAAAGACTTTACTAATAAGGAAAAGCTTCTTATGATATCAAGATCTCATAATAATTTGAGTTTTGAACATGATGAGTTTTTGAGTAACAACCTGAAGCGAGGAACTTCTGAAACAAGATTTTAATATTTAAATTGCAATTTAGAAGATGTCATACAGTATTTTTTAAAAAAGCATTTTGACAAGTGTTTCCTTTTCAGTGAGACTGTACCAGCCTGTTTTTAACCAAATGCTTAATAGCCCATTAAAATTGGCTTGCTCAAACAGAAATCTTCACCTTTGTAATGCCGGGTTTCTTGTTGTAGTAACACACAGCTGCAATACTGTACATTATCATTGCTCAGACACTTTTGTTACCACTGATTCCAATTATCCCCAAGTCATTATTTCTTTTGTTCTATATAAGCATGTTACTTTTTATCACTTTGACTCCAGGAGACTGCATTAGGAAAAAAAGTTCAATTTACTTGCAAGTTGTCTTTATTTAAAGGCTTCAAGAGTCTGAAAACAGAGCTTGCGGTCTAGAATGGGAAGTGACCAGGAGCACATACTGGAATTGTCAAATCCAGGCCTTTATTCCTAGGTGTTGTCTTTCATATGCAGTACATCTTGAACTGCAGTCTTGCCATTGTCATTGTGAGAAAGTTGTTTACATATTGGGGTGGGTGGATAGAAAAGAGTGGGTATAATTAAAACAATTTTTTGTGAATTCATTGTACTTGATCAAGCTGAATACCGGTGTTGTGAATTATTAACTATGCTTCATACAATAATCTTTCTACATCCATTGTAACTTAATCATGTTATTCTGGAAAAGCATATATAAAGTAAGAAATCTGAAAATTCAGTTCTCTACATCACTTTGATTGGCAGCAGTTTTAAAATCAGAATAGAAAGATTCAATTAAAATCATAGGAACATGATGAAGACTAACTGGATTTTAGAAACATGATGTATAATAAGATGAGGCATGCATCTGAAGACAATAATGGAAAATTAATGTATTGCCTTTCATTACAGTAGCAAGAAGCTAAGTAACTAGATCTCCATGTTCAAAATACTGACACAAAGCATACAATTCATGTAGTAATATAGTAAGAAAGCCCCTTGCCTAAATTTTGATTTATATATTTCACATAAATGTTGGTGTAATGGTTCACTGAAGGCTTTGCTGTGGCAATTTGCATTACAAGATTTTCCAAAAGGAAGTGACATTTAAAACAGTGTTTTTCTCAGCAAAGCAAGCTTCACAGTTGACAGTTGTAGGCTATTGCTAAAGAGAAGGAGAATTTGAATGTGCAATATCAGAAGGTTTTCATGTATTTCATTAAGGTATTTAGGCCATGACCCTGCCACGACACCACACTAGAGAATGTCACTTCAAGCTGCTAGGCTCACCTAACAGGATGTTGGTCTTACTTGGTTGAATTTGATATGTTCACTTAACCTAAATACTCAGGAATTATTTTTAATGGCTTTTCCCAAAAAGAATCAAGCTTTTTAAAATGTCGTTGTTCCTCAATTACTTTGGTTATAAAAGATCAAAGACAAAAATGCCCTCTCTTTTTTTTTTTTAAATATTCCGCTCCATATTTCAACTGTGCAATGTTTGTGTATCAGGAGCATTACTTTCTCAGTGAGTTGAGGCATAGTGTTAACTGTTAGAAACTCAAGCCTATATATTGTAAGAGAGTTGGCTAAATATTTTGCTATGAAGCTTTTAATAACTTTCTGGTTTGTGTTCTTAAGACATTTGCTATTTTTTGCAATAAAATGTCTATCTACACATATCTGTTCTAAGACCTATTTTTTCCTCTATGATCTCAAATCTTACATATCAAAGTATAATGAGGTATCATAACATTGTATATACCGTTGTGCTTAATTTATTAGTCTGCCACTTCTTATTTTGTCATGACTAATTTCAGGAACATGCCTACACATGTAAAGGCTGAATGGTTTCTTTACCCATGTAATGTGAAATATATTCAAAGTGGTTTTGATAAAGGGAATTTTTGTATAAAAAGAACATCCTATTCTTTTTAGTTTGGCAGCAAGTATTCATCTAAAAATGGAAAACACTATCAAAGACATTAATGACGCAAGCTTTTTATTTCCTTAATAGCTACATTAAATGATAGCTTAAAATACTTTTTTTCACATACTATCATATGTGAGAATGGTGGTCCCTTTGGAATGTTGCAGGGCATGAGCTGTTAATTGTAACATAGATAACAGTGAAAAATGTACCAATTAAAAAATTTAAAATTAAAAAATTTACCAAGGTAAAGCTACCAACTTAAACAGGGAGTCAAAATAGCAGCATGCAAAGAAACTCTGTGGTTGACAGACCAAGTACAAAAATATTCCCAAATTACCCTAAAATGTAGGTTTTCATTCAGAAAATCACAGGACTGTTGAGGTTGAAAAGGACCTCTGGAGGTCGTCTTGTCCAACCCTCCTGCTTAAGCAAGGCCCCAGGACCATGTCGAGCTGGTTTCTGCATAACTCCAAAGAGGGAGACCCAATAACCTCCTTGGGCAACCTGTGCCAGTTCTGGGTCTCCCTCACAGTGAAATAGATTATCTGATGTTCAGAAGGACCCTTCTGTGTTTCAGTTTGTGTCCATTGCCACTTGTCCTGTCACTTGGCAACAGACTCTTTCCAGAGCCTGGCTCCTTCTTTTTGCGCCTGCTTTAGATATTTATACACATTGATAACATTGTCCTGAGAATTCTCAAGACTAAACAGTTCATCTCACTCAGCCATTCCTCATAGGAGAGGCGCTTCAGTCTCTTCATACATGGGGAGAGTCAGGAATCTTACAGTGGACAAAATGTGAGCAATGTGCAGTTGGCAGGTAAGGAACTGATGAAGAGAAGACCGTGTGTCAACTTAAATTGTATCATTAGGGTATAAATATCTTATTCAATCAGTTGCACATTCACTTCACAGACTTTTTTTCTTATTATTTCATTTCCATTGTTGATTCTCTGTGCAGCCCCACAACGAGTTTTTCATGCACACTGCAGGGTGAAAAAGAAGCCAAAGTCAGGAAGTTTAAGACTAGTTTTGTCATCAGAGGGAATAATTACGTAGCTACACTACAAGCCTTTTCACAGAATAAGCTAAACCTTATATCTGTCCAGAGGGAATGTTATGGTACTGTGTCCTTTGTATATAGTAACTCCAGAAAGAAATAAATGCTTGCAAAATGAGTTTTCTCCTTCCTCTGCCTGAGACTATTAAAAAATATATTTTCTACTTTTTAGGTAAGCATCCTAATTACTATCTATGGATCACACTGATGTTTAGGTCTGACCCTCCTGGGCAAAGCTCATTTATTAGGCAAGTTTCATCAGGAAATAAAGAGCAGGACTCTGCTAGATAGAGTGATAGAGCATAGATGCTGGATTACATTGTCTCTTCCAGGATTGACTCTATTTTACATGAAATTGTAAAAGGTTGCTGAATAGAATCCTTGAAACAGGGACTGGATTCTTGCCATGTTGATACTTCTCCCCAGTGAGCCCAATTTATTCTCCCTGTGAGGCAATGATCCAAACCCTTCCTTGAAGAGCAGCGTCAAATTCAGCAGGAGGGACTGGCAAATGCTCCAGCTGCTCAACTGCACATGGCTTAATGGATGGGAAGGCATGAGCTTTCTCAGCAGCAAAAGGACCTCAGCACAGTGTTACCCATCCACATGGCTGTCATAAGGCTGGAACTGTGTAAAGGATGGGAAAGTGAGCTGGCACCCCTAGTCTGGTTTTGAGAGAAAATGGAATTTAATGTCATTAACTGAGCACAATTTCTGAGGCTGCCAGTTTTGGAGGTACACATCAACAACTGTCCTACCTCTTATATTACCTCAATAAATTTTTTTTGCAAGCATGTCAGAGTGCCGTTCTCAGACCTATAGTTGATTTTGATTATCCTTAAAATGTAGCATTAATGGTTAGTTCTTTAGTTTCTGCTAAGTGAAAGTTGGGGAAGAGGACTAACCTACAAAAGCAGTTTTCTCCCTGAAAAGCTTTTCACACAGCTTGTAGAGTTCCTTAATTGCTTTGTTCTTACACCCTTCAGTTATTTCTTTATACGAGTCTTTTTCTGGCTCTTTCCAGGAACTTCTGCCTTCATTTTCCCAACATTCCTTTTTTTAGTTAATTTTCCTACTACATATGGCATTGTGGTGAGCAAGTAGAAATCTTTTAGCAAGACTGTGCATATGTATATGACAATGCAAATGGAATAAATAGCCTATTGTAATGTAGGAGTGCTTCATTTAGTACAATTTAGCCACTCAAGGGTAAGTTCATGCCCTTTGTTTAAACCTTTTCAGATTAAACTGAGGATTGAATTAATTGCAGTTACCGTAGATATCATGTTTAAGTTGCCGGTGATGTTTATTATATGGCAACAGTGGTTTGTACTTTAGAACTCACTATTTCAAAATGACTTCACTGGAGTGTTTTACACTTTCAGTAAAACCCAGTTTTTAGTAGTATTATTTGTCTGAATGACAGCTGGCAGAATTACAACCCCAAGTTTCATAAGGAATGGAAATGCAATAGTTAGAAAACTTTTATTTTAGGATAAGTGAGTCTGGACAAGAGCCACCAAGTTGATCAGGGGCATGGAGCATCTCATGTGTGAGGAAGGGCTGAGAGAATTGGGATTGTTTAGTCTGGAAAAGAGAAGGCTTCAGGGTGACGTATCTGCAGCCTTTCAGTACCTGAAGGGAACTTACAGGAGAGATGGGGCAAGACTATTTTCAAGAGCCTATAGTGACAGGACAAGGGGGAATGGGTTGAATTTGAAAGAGAGTAGGCTTAGTTTAGATATTAGGGGAAAATTCTTTACTTGAGGGTGGTGATGCATTGGAACATGTTGCCCTGAGAAGCTGTGGATGTACCATCCCTGGAAGTGTTCAAGGCCAGGTTAGATGGGGCTCTGAGCAACCTGCTCTAGTGGAAAGTGTCCCTGCCCACAGCAGGGTGTTTGGAACTAGATGATTTTCAAGGTCCCCTTCCAACTCAAACCAAATAAACAAAACCCAAAACCCCAAAAATCCCAAACCAACCAACAAACAAAACCAACAAAAAACCCCAACCAAACAAATTAAATTTAATTCAATTGAAATATAAAACTCCACTGTGTTTAGCAAAATATATGGATGTCTAATCTGTTGTCTTGATTTTAATTCAGGTAGGTGATGCTTTAGAGAAGAGTGATTTATAATCACTGTGAGTTGTCCATAGGAAGAAACATAAACCATTGGTGCCCCTTATCAGTTTTTTATTCCAGCTAGCATAATTGTTCAGGATAGCATTCACAGAAACATCTAATATGTTTAGAAATCTCACCAAGTCCTTCAGTTCACTAATATTGTTTTTGCAAACTACTGCAGATTAATTAGGAGTTGCCAGGAAATATATTTCCTTTGTCAGCTGGCAATTCTTGTCATCACTGTGATCTCAATTGCTCCCCTTTTAAAAAAAAATGTTCCAGGAATAACCTAATATCTATTGTAAATATATTGATATTTCAGGAAGGGAGTGGTTTCTTCATATATTTTAAAAAATTTCATCACCTGATTTGCTCAGAGCTATCCTGTGATTCATTGTACAACCAATTTAGCACTTCGATCTTTTTGTTCTCAGAATAGGTTCCTACTTTGTAGACAACACTGTATCTGTTCTTAGTCTTTTAATTATATGGGGTTTTTCACTTTTAGTATTATATTCCATTTCATTCTGGCCCACTAGACAATTCAGTTTTCCTTCTGATCTCTTTTATACTGATGACACTTACCTACTCTGACTAAACAGGCAGTCAGTGCAACCCAGCAGGAATAGATCTGTGCTTGCTGCTGAGGTCTCATTGTCCATCCTGATTGCATTTTAGAGGGTTTACCTGACTAGCTCACACCTGGGCTGGTTGGCCCAGGACTGGAATATGTTATGGGCTCCTGAAGGACACCTCCTCATTTGTTTTCCTGTGAAAAGAGTCCAGTGTGTGCTGTGGGACTGCTCTTTGGTATGAACTGAAGTGTGGTACGTGACACCAACTTGGAGATTTGTTTCAAAGGACTACTGACCTGGAAAAAACATCTTGTTTAGCCACACCTTTAATAACTTCTGAGAATTGCATCAGCACAACTGCATATTTTTCTTAAATCTGACAATAAATGCCATTTGGTAAGATTAATTTCACATCCGATCCTTTAAAAACTTTAAAAACAAGCCCAACTTGTCACCTCATCATCTAATGGTTAATACTTCGCATATTTTGCCTCTGAATTCTCTTCTCCAGCTTAAGGAATGATTTCAGATCTGCTACTATATGAAATACTTTGCTGAAGTCAGAGCAGATGAAATCTACAGCATATTTTGTCCCAAAAATTATTATTTCAAAAATAGATATCAGTTTAGTGTGGTATTATCTATCTTTGGCACACCTACTCAGAATCTTACCCTATTTCCCATTTTCATTCTTGTCTTTAGTTCCCACACTCACTGTTCCATTACGTATGTTTCCCCACTGTGTTTCCTTATGTTTTTGGGTTTTTTTAATACCATTTTGGTGACTCTGCCATTAATCGAGCTGTGTCTGGAGTTATCTCCAAAGGCTTCCTACAGTCAAGGTATACATTTGTGTGCTGTTGGTTTAAAAACAAGTCTCCCATACCTGAGAGCCAAAACACCAGTCTGGCTGATTTCAATAACTACTTTTCTTCTGAATTTGTCAAAATTTGTTTAAAACCAATCAACACTTTACTTGGAGTCCCAAGGTAATTTACTCTTTTTGTATAAAGTTAACTGGATCAGCTTAGGAGCATTTAAGTTTCTAGGACCATTGTGCCTATGGCACAGGCAGTGTTTAGCAAAAGCCAGCTGGTATTTGCTACAGCAATTGTTTGTGGTAGAGATCTGTTGGCTCTTGTAAGTAGAGATATTTCTACTCAGTTGTCACAATCACCATTTACTCAGTCTTTTTTTTTTCTGGGAAATTAATTTTTATACAAAGCAAAGGTAAAAAATTCAAGGTAAAGACAATATTTAACCTGGTTAACAATGATCAGTATACTTCTGCATTTTAACTCAGTTATCGCAGGGAAAAATATTCCTGCATTTTCTACCTACTTATCTTGATTG